TGCCAGAGGATTGTTGGCCACACATTCTTATAGAGTTAAAACTTAGGCCATCTACAATAGTGTTTTTTATTATTTATTTATTTTTTAAATACAATGTTGCTTCAAAAAATCTGTCACTACATAAAAAGGTGCTCTACTTACCTAAGTTATAATAAGACCTCACAAAACACAGGTTTGTGTATGTTGTTGTTACTCATGCAGAGACAATTTGAAAGTAATTGAGCTGGGATTATATTTTGTCTTGGGACTTCCTAAAAAGAAGAGGAGATTTGATTCGGTTATGGTGGCGGTTGATTGTTTTTCAAAAAGATCTCATTTTGTTGCTTTCAAGGGGGCAATTGATGCCTTGAACATTGCTTGAATATTTTTTTAGAGGCATAGTAAGGTTGCATGGCATTCCTAGAGTTTGACACTGAATCCTTACATTAAATTTATTTGTTGTTTTTTATGTGAGCTAGGGAAGAAGTTGCACACTAAATTGCATCCGAGCTCAACTTGCTGCCCGTAATCAAACGAAAGTTGATAATTGAATAGTTGTCAAAATGATTTGGTGCTTAGCATGCGAACAACCTAAGTAATGGGATAAGGTGCTTAGCCAAATAGAGTTTGCATACAGTGCAACGATGAATCAATCGGACAAGTCTCATTTTACCATTGTTAATTTATACTAAATGTCCTAGCCATACTATAGATTTGGCCATTCTACTGAAGCCATAGAACAAGCCACTTGAGCACATGATTTGATGCTTAGCATGGAGAAACAATCAGTCCTACAAACCACAAGCTGAGAAAAAAGCAGAGAATTAAGATATTTATAAAATGGGAGATTGGATTATGATAAACTCAAAAAAAGGGGTTTGAACTAGTACTTAAATTTAAAGCCGTGGAAATTTTGCCCATTCCCGATTGAATAGAATATGTGACAATATTTATATTATTTCATTACCGCCAATATTGAACATGTGTTCCACATCCAATATTTTAGATATCTATGAGTACCACCGGCCCACTTGATGGTGTTTCTATTATTAAACTCAAGTCAAGTTCTTCTGAAGTGGGGGAAGAATCTAGTGTAGCCATGCTATAATTTAGGGGATACTACAGCTTAAATTAGTTAATTTTCTAGTTATACTAAATTGTAGTTAAGGTCTTAATTATATGCTAGTAGTTGTAACTTGCCTTGATTAGTAGATTACTAAATAGCTGATAGTTATTTGGTGGAATAGCATTGAAATGCTTTTCAAAAGTTGTAATGATATATTTGATTCTCTCTTCATATTTTCTATTCTTCATTTGTACTTGGCTTAGTCAACTTACTAGCACTCTAGGTGATGGTTAAAGTCAAGAATTACTTATGATTGGAGAAATTGAATTTTGTTTTATATGTTACAAATTTGTACAATGATAATGAGAGTTTAAATATAACATCTAAAATTATTCTATTTATATATCTAACCTCTAAAATTGTATTATGCAATGCTTAAAATTTTAAATAATATAAAAAATAACACGTTCCTCTGCTTGCTTGTTGACTTTCGTGAAGGGCTTTTTGATGATGCCCTTTCTTAACGAAACCCCATTGTGATTTCATTACATGTTTTTATTTGAGGAACTAGTTCACTACAGGAAAATCGGGTATTTCCGACAGATTTTCGCCGGATTTTTTTCCGCCGGTTTATACGCGCGTCGGAAAAATTATACCGGCCCAAAATAAGCCGCCGGAAATATTTCCGTCGGACTTAGTCCGCCAGTACAGTCACTACGGGAAAACACGTGATTACCGTCGGAATTTTCGGCGGATTTTTTTGCGCCGGCATTGACGGCGCAGGTTCCGGCGGAATGATGCGACGTAAAGTTTACGGCGTTATTTCCGGCGGAACCGACGCCGGAAATTTACCGGCGTCCATTGCGCCGGAAATAACGCCGGTGAAAAGGGCTCTGGATTATTTCCAACGCAGATTACGGCGGAAACTTTCTTTTAAACTTAACGAAAACGTTCCAGCGGATTATGCGCCGGCTTATTTAAACTCAACGAAAACGTTCCGGCGCATTGTCCGACGGTAACATTACCGGCGGACGTTCCTCCGGAAAGTCCGCCGCTAAAAGCCCTAAAATGCGAATCGGAGCCCTCTAGGCCGTCATTCTTTTCGCTACTCTCTCTCACCTCGCCTCCTTCGCCCGTCGCCGTTCGTTGCTCGCCGAAGATTGACGTCGCCGACGGTCACCGAACTTCGCCGCCAACGGTCACCAGACTTCGCCGAGCATCTCCCTCTCTCCTTGTCGCGCGCCGCCGAGCATCTCCCTCTCTCAATCGGTATTGCATTTTTTTTTTTTTTTTTTTTCTTTTTTTTTGCTTTAGTCATGGATGTTATCACTAGACATTTGCTATAGGATATACCTTGGTGCATGCTTTTTGTTGATGGTATTCTTCTTGTTGATAAGACTAGAGAGGGAGTTGAAGGTAAACTTAAGTCCATATCTTTTTGCTTTAGTCATGGATGTTATCACTAGACATTTGCTTTAGGATATACCTTGGTGCATGCTTTTGGTTAATGATATTCTTCTTGTTGATAAGACTAGAGAGGGAGTTGAAGGTAAAGTTGGATTATGGAAATCAGCATTACTCCATATCTTTTTGCTTTAGTGGTTAGTAGACTTAGTGAGGGGATTGTGACTTTGAGCAATCAATTCATTAATAAGTGTAACATAATTTTAGGTTATGGATATTAGAAATATATAAATCCATTAATTTTTTACTCTTATTTATAGGTTATGGATATTAGAAATCAACGAAGTTGGATGTATAACCGATTATCTCAAAGTCGGAAGACATTAACAGATGAATTCATCAATGGGGTGAACTTTTTCATTCAGCAAGCGAAACAGCTGCCGATCTTTATATCTGAAGGAAAGTTTCGATGTCCATGTTCTAAACACAAAAATCTAGTGATCCTAGAACCAGATGACGTAACTGTTGATCTGTATCGCAGAGGATTTATGCCACGGTATTGGTATTGGACTTGTCATGGTGAGTATGAGCCACAATTTGATTATCAATGCGGTCCTTCTACAAGTAGTAATGTTGCTGAGGCTGAAAATATCCGTCCAAATCTTGAGGAATTAGTTCATGATGCAACTGGAATTTATGAAGAGTTACCGAATACGGAGGCACAAAATTTTTATGATTTATTGCATGCTGCACAACAACCAATCTGGAAAGGGTGCACGACTCACTCAGAACTATCTGTTGCTGTGAAGATGTTAAGCATCAAGGCTGAATATAATGTTGCTCGTGAATGTTTTAATCAATTCATTGGGCTGCTTAAGGAAACCAATCCGACAGATAATTTAATTCCTACAGATCTATATCGGACAAAGAAGTTAGTTTCGAAACTTGGTTTGACATACACAAAGATAGATTGTTGTGTCAATGGATGCATGCTATACTTTAAAGAAGATATTGCAGAAACTGTATGCCGTCATTGCAATGCACCAAGATTTAAACCCAAATCTAGAAATAGAAGAAAGCAGAAGGATGTGTCTGTTAGTAAGATGTTCTACTTTCCAATAATTCCAAGACTACAACGGCTATATGCATCCATGAGATCTGCTGCACATATGAGATGGCATAATGATCGCATTCCACAAGAAGGTGTTATCACACATCCATCAGAAGCAGAGGCTTGGAAGCACTTTGATCGTACACATCCCACATTCGCCGCAGAACCAAGAAATGTCAGATTAGGTTTATGCGCAGATGGTTTTACTCCATTCAGTCAGTCGGCTACACCGTACTCATGTTGGCCTGTGATACTCACTCCTTACAATCTTCCTCCAGAGTTATGTATGACTACTCCTTATATGTTTTTGTCACTTATAATTCCAGGGCCACATAATCCAAAATTAAAGATTGACGTATTCTTACAACCTCTGATTGATGATTTAAGTTTATTATGGGAAGAAGGAGTAAGTACATATGATATCTCCACCAAACAGAATTTTACACTAAGAGCAGCATTACTTTGGACAATTGGTGACTTTCCTGCATATGGTATGCTCTCAGGTTGGAACACTTCAGGCAAGTTAGCTTGTCCATATTGTTTGGAAAATACAAAATCATAGTTTAGAGGAGGTAGATCTAAACATAGAGGAAAGTGATGATGAATCTGATTGTGCTAGGAGTGTATCATCTGATGAAAGTGAATCAACAAATGATGAGTTAACAACATAAGGTAAATTATTTTACTTCCCTGTATTTTACTTCACTGTTTTTTATAACTACTGCACTCCGTTTTTTTTACTTACCTGTATTTTACTTCAGATAAATATTTTTAATAGTAATTTTAAATTTATTTAATTTTATCGGAAATTCGTCGAAAATTCCGCCGGAAAGTCCGCCGGAAATTCTGTCGATTTTATTTCCGCTGGAAAATCCGCCGGAAATTAGCTGTTTTCCTGTCTGAAATAAATTCGCCGGAAGTTGAATCAAAAAATCAGCCGGAAAAACGTCGGAAAATACACCGGAAATTTTGCGTCGGTACTCCGCCTGAAAAACCGCCAGAATTTGTGGCGAATTTTTTTCCGCCGGAAATGAGCTGTTTTCCTGTAGTGGTTTTTCATGTTACCGGTCCCGTCAATACCCTTCTTATTATGATTTTATTCTATCTTTCGCACCTCTTCATGGTCATTGAGTGTTTAGGGTTAAATAGGTGCGACGACTTGTTTCAAAAAAGAATTTATGGCTATTAAGAGGTTGTCATTATAATCCTTTTTTCGAACTTTTGAGTCAATTAAGATAAACTCATACATACATATTATATACATAAGCTTCTATTCCAAGACTTCTTTATTGATAATTAAAGTTCTCAATCAATAGATCAAAATGAGCTAAGTTCATCCTGCTCCTTTTTATTGTAAAATTGATAGCCCAAATTATGTCTTGACTTACTTGGGAAGGAGAGTAGACTGATGAAACTAGGGTTTGCTAATAAGTCTTTGGATTAACAAATGAAATAATTCTTTATTGATTGGGTAAGGCAACGCTACACGGCTACAGGAATTGTTGTATCATCAAACAAACTTACGACCTTCCGTGAATACCTGATGAAGACGAGGCATACGGTCAGAAGGTCGGTCGGAGTACTCGACAAAGATTGGTTGGTTATGCGGGGCCCATATGGTGGAGAAAACGTACGCTTCTCAACCTTCTCATGAATCATTCATTCTCATGCGTGCAAGCTCCCCGATTTAACCGGAGACTTCAAGAATGTGCACTTGAGAGAGTTGAAACCAACCACGACTCTCTCTCTCTCTCTCTCTCTCTTATTTTAGCCATGCGGTAAATTGTAAATATGCAGAAACTGAAACAAAAAAATCATTTAAAATTTATCTTCTGTATAAAATTCTGATAGCATCCATATTAAGAGTAAAGACTTAGAGCCTAATTATATTTTTTAGTATAAAATTTTAATTTTATACTAAAAAATTATTTTAATCGAAGCCTTAGCTATAAGCTGAATAAACATTTGTATATGTACATATTTAGAATCCCTATGCTATCCATATAATGCATTCAATCAAATTTTTCTAATAAATAATACTATAAATGGTGACACGTGTCGGTATGGAGAGCTCCTATTGCGGCTCGCCAGCCTTCATCTGGGCGGTTGGCCACGGAATCAAAGTATGCAGCGGGAAGCAGCAGTCGCAGTCAGTCTGGCAGCGCTGGTGCGGCGTCGGCCAACTCTTGTCGACCTCGCCGAAGTCATCCGAAGCCGGCTTTTCCGGCCGTCCGATCTCCGCCGCCTGACGGAGTGGGCCCCAGCACTCGACGCTGTGGAGGTCGGGGGAGTTGGAGTGGAAGTAGACCCATACCAGGGCGTCCTCGAGATCCGGGTAGGTCCTGAAGAGCCCGCCGTCCCCGTGGACGAAGGCCTTGAGGACCACCGGAAGTTCTCTGGAGAAGATGTGGTGGCGTAGATTGGCGACGAGGTCCAAGAGGAAGTGGCCGCCGCTGATGTGGCAGTGGACGTGGAGCGACATCTTTCCTCGAACCTTCCTCCATTCGGCTACCACTTCATCCCTCTGCAGCTTGTGGTACCATCCCTGCAGCTGCAACACTTGGAATTTCCGATTATAATCTGTAATTTATTGAACACTAATTTATTATTAAATCCTTAGTATTATTATAGCTTTGACTTGTTTAAATTTCGGCATTTGCAGAATTTATCAAATTTTACATTTGAGATCAAATTTAAATTAAGAAAAAAAAATCATTTGTGAACGAAGTATTCACCCCTAAATTCTAAAATGAACCTAAAATAATGAAGATTAAGAAAGTTACCTGTGCCCGGTTGATGGATTGGGAGATTGCAAGGGTTAGACGGGCTGTGACGTCGCTGTGGGTGAGAGTATAGGTGCGTGGAAGCTTCTCCGGATGCTTCCGATCGTCCACTCCAAGAAACATAACCTTGAGCTTGGAGGCCTCGAAGATGGCCGGTCCGAACAGCCGAGCAACCTGAAATAAATTATAAATTTTATATTAAAGGGGGTCGGTTATATGAACAAAACTTGGTAAGATCAGATCGAAGGCGTTTGCTCACCGGAAAAATGGAACGCCGACCGGGATGGATGCGGCGACGGCTTATGGAGGATCGGCGGGAAGAAGAAGAAGGCTGATGCTGCCATGCTGGAGTAGGCAGCAGGGCCGCCGCAGAGCCCATATTGGACGCCGGAGATCTTCAAATTCAGGTATGAACGAATGAATACCAAATTTGAGTTTATTTTATTTTTCCCCTTCTCCCTCTCAGTATTTAATGATTTATTTATATATTATTGTGTCTTGTTCGGGTATCTAAGCTAGTTGGGAGGATGCGTGTGGGAATAAAGGATGGGGGGGCTTGCCTTTCTTCCTCGGCAACTTTTAAGGCGGCATTTCAGGACGATATTATTCTTTATGGTCAATTACGTGGCTATTAAATCCTTTTTATATATATTTATAAAACTTATGCATAATTACGTGTCAAGATTTTGAAGAGAAGAATAATTTTATAATTTATATAAATATATTTTTTTTATTTTCATATTAATTTATTTTTTTAAGAAAATATTAAATATATTAATATGAAAATTTAAATAATATGGTTGATTGAGAATTATTAGATAATGAGATGTGAGAATAACACCTGTCTTTACTTGTTGGTCTTGCTTCGAAGGAAAGCTTTAGTGTAAATTAGTTCACATGACTTTCTATGGATTTGTGATTTCGGTCTTCTCCCGATTTTACTACGATTACCAGCTGCCTTTCTATGGATTGTAGAATGATTAGATTAAAATCTATCCCATTATTTCAAATGAAAAATAATGTTGTCATCTATGTAGAGAGCATTGAATGGTTAGATTTGAGATAGTCCGACTCGATCAAAGAATCTTCTCAAGGCTGGTTCGCTTAAGTTTGTTTTTTAGGCCATAAAAAAAAATTCGTTTGAGCTTGAACTAATCTTCTTATTGTAAGGGATTTGTACAAATTATCATTTAAATTTTATTTCCATCTTTCACTTCAAATGAAAGGACAAGTAAATAAGACATCTTGTATTCAAGTCTCTTAAGCTTTTTGGGGTTGATGATTGGACAATGCCCCATATTTTTTTTTAACTATTAAGAATGTTGCAAGCCCCCTTTTTTTCTTTAATATTTATATATATATGACAACAACAACATCATCAAGTTTGTATCCCACTAGGTAGGATTGGTTACATGAATTCTTTTTCTCCATTATCTATTAAGAGTCAAATTCTCTTTTATATCTAATTAAAAACTATCATTTCTAATAATTTTTAATCAAGCCTTTTTATGTCTATCTCCATTTATTCTGAACATATCTCGGATCTAATACATCTGCTCTTTGAACCAAGTCATCGGAAGGCCGACATTTTTTATGATCAAACTATGTAATGCGATTTTCTCTAATATTATCTACCACTGGAGCTACTCCAACTATTTCACGTATATACTTATTTCGCATTTTGTCTCTAAGAGTAAAGCCACTCAACCACCTGAGCATTCTCATCTCTACAACACATAACTTAATTTTATGCTTCTCTTTTAATGGCCAACATTCTACGCTAAAAATCATTGCATGTCTCACCACCATCTTATAGAATTTTCCCTTAAATTTGAGGGGTATTTTTCAATCACACAACTAGTCCAAAGCATTCCTCCATTTCAACGATCAAACATGAATTCTACTACTAATATCTCAATTTTTTTTTTTTTGGGTAAACCCGGGGCAGAAAGCCCATATATTAGAATGAACGAAAAATTACAAGTAAACCTGTGAAGAGAAAATTAAAGCATCAGCCAACAAAAGATATCCAACCAGCTTGCCAAAAAAAGGAGCATCAAGTGGAGGATATTACAATCATAAGGACTCAGAAAGAAAAAAGACCAAAACCCCAAAACATCATAAGATCAGTGATAAGCTCACGAAAACCGCGCCGGAGGATCAGGTAGCCTAAGATCTAGAGCATAACGTTGCAACAGCATAGGAGAAAGGCCTTCACAGAACCTCCAGCAGCCAACATCAAGATAGATTTCAAGCCAGGTTGCCAAGTAGGCCATCCATGGCAATAAAGGGGAATGGCCTAGCTCATCATTGTCGGATTGTAATATCCCTCCATGAAATTCCAGCACAGTAGTCCATAGCTCTCCAAAAGTAACCTGGATTGTAATATCTCAATTATTTCACCATCACTTTGAACAATAAACTCAGGATATCTAAAACATATGCTCTTTTTAATGACTTTATCACCCAAAGTCAAAATATCCCTATTGAATCTATTACTACTAAAATTACATTCCATATATTCAATTTTAGTTCTACTCAAATGAAAACCTTTAAACTTCAATGTTAACCTCGATAATTCGAGTTTTTCTTCAATTCTCTCTCTAGTCTTATCAATAAGAAGAATATCTTCTACAAAAAGCATACACTAGGGTACTTCCTTTTACAAATATCTATTAAGAACATTCATGACTAAAGCAAAAAAGATATGGGCTTAAAGCTAATCCAAGATGTAATCGACTGACTAAAATAGGAAAATACTTAGTCAAACCACCTTATGTTAGAATATAACTAATAACTCCTATATAAGCATTATTAGCTCCTTTATTTTCTAGAACTCTCCAAAGCATTTCTCTTGGAACTTTATCATAATGCTTTCTCTAAATTAATAAATATATATGTAGATCCACTTTTCTCTTTACTTCTCCATCAAATCTCTCAATAAATGTATAGCTTCCATAACATACATAATCAACAGTCGACATGAATCCAAATTCATTTTGAGAAAAATTAGTATCACTTGGTAACTTATGCTCAAATATTTTCTCTCATAATTTTAATATATGTGTTGGATCTTGGAGGAAGATATGTGCTTTCTTGAATGTAGAAGGAGAGAGGGAGGGAAGAGAGAGATGAAATCAGAACTAATATTTATTGCTTGACTTATTAGCTCTGCCGCTTATTACAGACTATAACACTTATTTTTAGACTTTAATGGTAACATAAAAGCTACACAAGAACCTAAAGAAAGTATAACTAAAAATACAAACATAAGTCTAGATTAAATCCTAACAATCTCCACCTTGGTCTAGAGTTTACTTAACAGCTGAATCAATTCATCCATCTCTCAAATTTGTAATCACAGCTAAGTTTCTTGAATACACTCATGAGTCCCTTCACAGTTGCATCTCCAAGCAACTTTCTTGCCTCTGGACAGAGAGCCAATGCTCCACCTGGTTCTACTAAGAACTACTTCTATGGACCGAAATCCACCTCCTAATCAAAATTGAATCCCTAGATTCGATTTCTCGCACAAGCAAAGCCTCTGCAATCTTCTCCTCTGATTCGATGGATAAGATCTATCAATTGCAGGGAATGCACACAAGAAGCCCCCTAGATTTCACGATATCTTCCTCCAGGCCACAAGACCTCTGTGATCGGTTTAGTCTTGCTCTCCCATTCTCGTCTCCTTTCCAGCCTCTCCTCTCACCTGGTTTGACTCCTAGGTCGCGAAAACCCCTTTGTTAGCCTTAGGCCCACAACCATGCCCTTTGGCCCAACTGCAGACCTGCAACCCCAGCTCCGCTCTCTCGCCCAGCCTCAGGCCCAATCTAATCTCGTTCTTCCAATCAAGGCCACTCTGCGCGTATCCACCCGCGCCTCCAGGCCTCGTCTCCCTCCTTCGTTCACTTAAACAGCCATGTGCTCTGCTTCAGCGTGAAGAAGCCTGCAGTACGCCCAACTGCCACGACCTCCCTTCTTCTGCTCGTTTGCACGTGACCCGAGCCCCGCGTGATCCCTTGTGCACTACATGCCCTGCACATTCTTCCCAACTCAAGCACAGTCACCGACTCCGAGCCCTGCATAGTCTTTAGACCGACGCGCCTTGTACCCACACGTCCGCACAACGCCTCGCACGCTCCTATCCCACACGAGCGCATCCCTTGCTCTGACATGCGGTAAAAATTGCTCTGAATTGTGACACCCACACGTCCGCACAGTCCCAGTGCGCGTCTGCCCTGCGCCAATGCTTAAGCTCACCTTCGCTCGCCCGTCCTGCTCGTGCAACCCACGCAACCCGCCCGAAGCCTTCCAATGCGACCCGATACCGAGCCAAACTCCCAGACGTGTAGCCCACATTTGTGCTCCATTTCGAATACGCTCTCCAGCCTCTTGTCCGCCTTACACGAACAAATCTGCCTGAGCACGGCCAACAGTAGCACCGATAGTGACTACGTCCTCTCTTTCTTGATTCACCTCAAGAACACCTTTCTCCTTCCTTAAGATCGCCTCTACCAGGCTCTGATATCACTTGTTGGATCTTAGAGGAAGATATGTCATTTCTTAAATATAGAGGGAGAGAGGGAGGGTAGAGAGAGATGAAATCAGAACTAATATTTATTGTTTGGCTTATTTGCTTTCCTTTTATTATAGACTATAGCACCTATTTTTAGACTCTATTGGCAACACAAAAGCTACACAAGAACCTAAAGAAAGTTTAATTGAAAATACAAACATAATTCTGGGCCAAATCCTAACAATATGATATATTAACTTAATTCCTCTATAATTTTGTGCACTTTTATGCAACACTTTTATTTTTAAAAATAGGAACCAACAATCTACTATATCAAAAATATTACTTGTTGATTTTCTGATGTGATGTGATGCACTTGCATATGCAAGGACAAATTACCCAAATACTGGTTAATTGACATTTTTTTTTTATGGTTAATTGACACTTTATTTACTGCCAATTACTATAATTTCATTTTTCTTTTATTCCAGTACACTCACGCCTTTGTAGTCTTTTGGGTTCTATTTTTAGTAAGCAGCACAAACCCTTTTGATAGTAATATATATGAGTCTAAAAACAAGAAAAGTAGAATACCATATGCTAAATTTTGGTTTTATCGTTTTTGTTTTGTGTTTAAGAGTTCTCTGTATTCCCTTCTTTGTTGCCTGCTACATCAATTTTGGTATCAAAGCCTGAGGCTGGGCGAGATTGGCTGATGGCAACAAGCATGAGGTTGGAGATGCCATTCAAGAAAAATTAGAATTGAGCTCGATGTGGACATTATTACAAGTAGTAAATATTGCTCTCAAAGCTAAAATTCAGCTCATCAAGTATTATCGCAACATGAATGAATTCAGAAAAATAACATCTATAAGCATGGAAAAATAAAAATTTAAATATATTTTCATGTAATGAATTTAGAAAAATAACATCTATATGCAATGGCTGTAAGAGCATTGTTCTCATTACAAAGCATAGAAATCTATGCATTTATCAACTGTGCACAACAGCAAAGATTTTACCTCCAGATATGCAAACCTGCGGTTCCTATCTATCTACCGAGCAAGTCTGATTTCTTCAGGACATACCTAAGCAAATCAAGAAAAAATAATAAAAACCCCACCAAAGCTAAAGCAATGCCATGGATAAAGCACAAGCCAAATACAAGTGAGCCGCCTCTCTACTTACTTTTTCTTTTCCACCTTGTGCTTCACGATAAGAGCGGAGCCAAATGCTCCTTTGCTAATCTGCTCCAAAAATAAGCGCAATAATCATCTAAATTCATAACTCACAATAAATCATAAATTAGCAACAGAACAAGACAAGAAATGTTTCTGTTACACAAGCGTTTTGATTCGTGCTCCGAATTCAAAATGCAAACTGAAAATATTTTCATTGCAAACCGAAAGCTAGGCACATTACTTCAAAGAAGTATTCAGCGAACCGTAGAAGCCTCACCGGATCTAAACCCACAGCCAAACAAAGATCTCTGATTCTACTGGATCATGAAGACCTAGCCGACTAAAAGAAGCAGAGCAGTGAGAACTCCCAGTTCCTCACTAACAATCCTCTCCGAAATGGGAAAAATGAGGAAAAAAAAAATGAGACCAGAGACGAAACTCCAAGCGGCAACATGACATCATCTCGACCATCTCATGATTCACCCTAATTGCCTTCACTGCCTCGTCGTCGACAATCTCTGTTACTTCCCGGTGGATTATATGGCCGCAGGGAGACGAACGCGGAACATAGTCGAGCGAGAGCTAGGGCACAAAGAATAACGGCGACAAACCGCTTCTATAAATCACTATTAAAAAATTAAGTTTTAAATAATTTTTTTAGTAGCGGTTAAAACTGCTGTTTATATCAATTTATAGCTCCAATTTTAAAACTGGTATAAAAAAATGCTGCAAAAATCTTATATTTTTAGTAATGGAGAGTCGGTCGCTAAAATCTTATAACATGAAATGCGATCTACGGGCATAGCATTGAGAGAGAGGTGATAAATGAGTTACATTTGATATATTATAAGGGAAATAAATTTTATATTGTTTAAGCATAAATTATTAGATCTTTTATTTAAAAAATTTTCATGGTTAATTTTCATTTATCAATTCATAATTTTAAGTTATAAATTATAATTTATATCTATGAAAATAAAATATATGCAAATATGAATAAATGTTTGACACATCTGTATTAGTATTTTGAAATTATTTTTGTCATAATATTTAAATATAAATTTTTCAATAAAAAGTTAAATTTTTTTTCCAAACTATAGATAGAATTAGCAACCAATTCTCTTCTTTGGTAGCTAATGTTTCATGTTTACTTAGAGGTCTTTATCATCATTGGTCGCTAAAACATACTTTTAGCGACCATTTTACTTTGGTCTCTAAATTTTTTGTCGCTAATGATATGTTTTCTTCCAGTGAACACCCTCCATCGACATTTTTTTTATCATGGACCTGAATCTACTAAGATAATTTTAGCTACTACTAATGTGCCACTAACTCAACCTCAACTGAAATGACTCTGCTGCAATAGTAATTTTTCTGGCCACCTCCGCAATGAAATGACTCGTTTTGTCGAACGTTGTCCAGTATGCTAGAGTTATAAAGGTATCACTCAAAATACTGGCTTGTACCTCTTGCTGCCCATACCTGATACTATTTGGGAATACTTAAGTCTTTATTTTGTCTTGGGTCTCCCTCACAACAAACGTGGGCTCTCCATTATGGTTGTTGTTGATCGACTTTTTAAAATGGCTTACTTTATTGTTTGTTGTTGAACCTTTAATGCCCTCTATGTTGCTCATCTTTTCTTCAAAAAAATTGTTCATCTTCATGGCATCCCAAGGAGTCTAACCTCATAAAGAGATGTCAAATTTATCAGCCATTTTTGACGTGAGTTTAGGGTTTCGCTTGCACAGTAATATCAACTTGAGTTCAACATATCACCCACAATTGAATGGTCAAACCGAAGTGATTAACAGAACTCTAGGCAATATGCTTCATTGCCTTGTTCAAGACAACCGAAAACTATGGGATGAAATGTTAAGCTGAGCTGAATTTTCCTACAATTCCATGACTAACTGCTTAACTAGTTGTTGCCTTTCAGTCTTATTTACACGAAGGTGCCAAATCATACAATGGATGTTGTTGTTATTTCTAAATATCAAAATAAGGCTTCCATTGATTTCACATACCACTTCACAAAAATGCTAACTAATGTTCGTAACAAGATTTTCGATTCAAAGCCCAAATACAAAGCCACTGCTGATGCTCATCACCGTGAGAAGATATTTAACCCCGGTGATTTAATCATGGTGTGTCGAAAATGTGATTGTTTCCCGCCGGCACATATTCCAAACTAGGCGAACAAAAAATTGGTCATGTTTCCATCTTGAAACGAATCAACAATAGTGCATATGCTGTTGATCTTGCAGCTAATTGCAATACATTGCCTTCGCCCACCTTCAACATAGATGATCTCTACACATATCACCCTCCTAATTGACCAAACACAGTGACCCTGTCGTTGGACTCGAGCTCTTTTAAGGTGGGGGAATTCTGATGTTGTGCATCTTGCATATGCAGGGACAACTTACCCAAATACTGCTTATAGAACTAACACTTTATTTACTACCCAATACTATAATTTCCTTTTTATATTAAAACAGTACGCTAATGCCTTTTAGTCTTTTGGGTTCTATTTTGAGCAAACAGCACTACAGCTCGATAGTAATATATAGGAGAGTCTAAAAACAAGAAAAACAGAATACCATGTACTACATTTTGGTTGTATCGATTTGGTTGTGTGTTTAAGAATTCTCTGTATTCCCTTCTTTGTTGCCTGCTTCCACCAGGGTGATGAAAACCTTCGATAATCACCAGCGCACACTTAACAAATAAACGAGACATAATAGAAAGCCTAAATAAAGGTTAAGACTATCGCGTCCAGGAGTATTCGCGGCGGTAGAGAAATATAAAGTTTATCGTCTTAGCATTGTACGAAAATCTGGCACGCAATCAGATAAGGAGAGAGGGTCTAGCAATTATGAGACACCAAGATTTTTACGTGTAAAACCCCTGAAAAAGGGGGAAAACCACGGGGCCTAGCCCAGTCAGAATGAATCCACTAGTATTGCAGTCGATTACAAATGAGGCGCTTCCTTGGGAGAAGGCCTTAGCTTCATGTACATATTATGGAGTACATTACATGATGTAAATACAAAGAGCTACTATCGACGTATTTGCTTTGTTAGAAGGACTGCAGTCGGCGGGCGACGTAGGTCAGGAGGACCGTAGTCAGCTGGCGACGGAGGACTGTAGTCGGCGGGCGACGTAAGTCAGGAGGACCGTAGTCGGCGGGCGACGGAGGTCGGAAAGACTGTAGTCGGCGGGCGACATAAGTCAGGAGGACCGTAGTCGGCTGGCGACGGAGGTCGAAAGGACTGTAGTCGGCGGGCAACGTAAGTCAGAAGGGCCGTAGTCGGTTGGCGATGAAGGTCAGAAGAACTGTTGTCTGACGACGAAGATTAGAAAGACGACGTCAGGTAGAAGTCCAATAATGGAAGGAACTCCATCTTCGCGTAGACGTCTAGCGTAGTCCGATAACCGGTAGAAGTCCGGCATCGGGTAGAAACTTGGCGAAGTGTGAAGGTCCGACGTCGGGTAGAAGTCCGACGTCTTTGGTGGCAGAGGAGAACTCCGGCTTCACTTAGGCGGAGTTTCGGCGTCAGGAGGGAGTTGGGAAGAATTTCAGCATCCCATGGAAGTTGGGCAGAATTATGATATTCTCTCGAATATCCGGCAGAGTTCCGGCGTCTTCAGGCGGCAGGAAGAGCTACGGCGGTGGTCGAGGAGGTGAGGAATCTCCTTTCTCCTCTTCTTCTTCTCTCTCTTCACTTGAGTCCCTTTGGTGTAGAATGAGGGCTCTATTTATAGTTTTTCTGGAGTGGCATAGCTCGTAAATAGGCGTGAAATCATGGGCGAATTGGGAGTGTTTTGAATGGACGGCCGATATCGAATCCTTTGATCATGCACCGTTCGTTAGACATTTGAAGGCTTTAATGATGTCGGAATTCGGTGATCTTGGGCTCGTTGGATTCGTCTCGTCGAGCCGTTCGATTCGAGTATAACTCGTCAAAATCGGAGACCGTTTGGTAACTCAAATTGCAGTTTGAACCTTCCGACAGCGCTTTGAGCCCTTGATTTGGACTCATTTGGGCTCGGATTGGGTTGATCTTGGTGTCGTTGGGTTCATATTTCCGAGACGCTCAGTTTGGCTGTAAGCTCGCTGAAATCGGAGTTTGGGTGCTCCCAAAATTAATTTTTGAAGTTTCCAGCTAGCTTTTGCCTCGAGATTCATGCCCGATCAAGATAATTTTTGTGATGCCGTATCAATCTTAATAAAAATTTTGAAGGAATGCTTTATATTGCAATTGTATGAAATTGTATTCACACTATTATAACACATGTTAATTTGTCCTGAACTTTAAAGATCTTGAGAGTTATTGTATCTTGATTCAAATCTCGCTTAAATTTTAATATATCTTACTAAACTCAGAGCGAAATTCTATATATCAATCTAATTTCTATCATATAAATGCGTCGTATGTGTGTAGTATAACATCTCATTTTGACTTTGATCTATAAAAATAGGTGACAGCGGCAGAGGCGGCAGAGGTAGCAGAGGAGAGCAAGCAGGAGGAAGTTTCAGCTGAACCAATGGCTGAGGAGGCTAACAAGACTGATGAGACCGATGGAGAAACTAATGAGGATGAAGCAAAGGAAGATGACCTGAAGAGCGAGGAAGGCAATGCAGCTTCAGCTAAGGAAACTAAGGCTTAGTTCTGCTTTAATTGCGATTCGAAGGAAGGAAATTATGGGGAATGAGGGCTCACTTGCTTTTTCTCTTTTCTTTTTAGCCTCTGCATTCTGCAAGCAAGCGTTGTACCTCTATGCATTAATTTTATTTTTATAATTGGATTACTTTTTTCAGAGGGGTTTTGATGGATCACTAAATTTTCTTACTTTTTTTATTTTTATTTTAAATTAGTGAACAGTTACTGAAATTAAAATTTTATTTATTTGTTGAAATACATTATTTTGTAGAGAACTTGGTAAAAGAAACATGTATTGTGTAGAAATCGTTAACGTGTTTTTTAAATTTGTGCATAACTGCGTACATAATTAAAAAAATTAATCAAAATATGCAAGAATAACCTTTTTTTTGTTGGAGGTCTCTAAAATTAAATAGAGTAAGCTGTCAAAATATGATCAATTAAATATTGGAAATTTTGATATTTACTACAATTGGCAATTGGTCTGTGGCTTTATTATTATTATTATTATTATTATTATTATTATTATTGTTATTATTATTATTTGATGATGATGTTATGTTTTATTAGTAGACTTATTTTTGGAGGTTGTTCTTCCGTTGGCATATTGGACAACGTTTGAATATTATGATTAAATTTCAAAACAATGACAATAATCTACCACTAAAGTTAAAGCATGTAACTTATAGTTTAGGTTATAAATATCATCACTTTTTTGCATGCATAGTGATCGAATTTACTAGTGCTAGTAATCGTCACCTATAAGGCTAGATACTACCAAAGCAAGCTCTTTTTTTTTTTTGGACATTTAGCCCGATTAAGTCAAATTTATACACACATTACATACACACGTTTCGAACCTAAGACCCCTTAGTTGGTAATCAAAACTCTAAACCAACAAACTAAGATGAGCTGCATAAAGCAAGCTCATCAATTGTGATCTTGATTGGATCTTGAGAATCGGCCATGTGGCAAGCGTGCCCTAACAAAGATGAATTGTGTACCAATGAGCTCTTCAAGAGTTGTCCAACTCCAATCAATTTTGTTCGATTATGGTCTAACTTGAATGAATTTCTAATTGTTACATAAAAGAAGAACTAGGTCAAATGAGAAGTAAATCACCTTAACTTTAATAGACATTCAAACACGATCAAAATAACAAAGTAAAGCAAGTAAAAAACACATGAAATTTTTATGTG